ATAAAAACTGATATAAAAACATAATAACAAGTTACACCTCTTATTACGTGACCGTGGTTTATAAATGGTTAAATATACATTTAATATAACAAGATGAAGGAATGCGGAAGTTTTGCTAACGGAGAAAATAAAATACTGTAACTAAAGGAACTAAAATCAGCGTGTCGTTGATAGATATTATGTTCGTATGTAATGTTACTGTACCAATATACTATAATAGATACGACAACAATGTAAACATTAGGTTTCATCATATTAAAATATTTAATGATTATATTTGACGCAATAATAGTCTTGGAACATAAAAGATGAAAAACCTTGCAGCTTTCTTGAAGGAATAATAAAGCGACATGTTAATGAGATGGGTTTGAATTTATCGATTGTATTCGCTATAAAAGTTAGTAGGAAAAGTGCTATAACAAAGTACACCGTTATGTTACGATATGAGAGTTTAGCTGGAGATAATTTACAGTCATGAACTGTATTGTTAGCAAAAGAAATTGATAAATAACCGTACTTAAGCGATTATCGCTACGAGTAAATGAGAACTTTTTCCGGGAAATTTATGTCGATTTTCGACACTTAATTAATCAGTTTAATATTTAAACCTTTCTGGTTAATAAAATATATTGACGATAGTTTCTTGCTGAAATGTATTTCTTAATTGATTAGAAATCAGAAAAAAGCATTTACTAGTTTTTTAAAGTCAAAACATGCGGTTCTATTTCATGTGTGCAGCTGCATAAGAGTTGGAACATAGCGCAATTAAAGTGGGAAATAGATCATTGCTGATATAAAACGATAACTCGTTCCACTCCGTTTATAATATATACGGTACCGTAGTAGCGGATTAAGTAAACTGAAACTGCTGAATCATTAGAACTAGTAATCTAACCACTAACTTGAAAACATTGCAACAAGCCAATATTGGTCATTGTAGCAAGAACGTATTCATCTATTCAAGAGGCTTAATAATACACGAGACATCGCTTGTAAATGATCGACAGTTTTGTCAAATTTCCAACTTTAGGGTATTAATAATCGTCAGTGTTTTATAGCAGATTTACGAGTAGGCCTATTTTAATTCTCTGCTCAAGTGCTGACATGCAGTCTAGTGACCGGTAACTCAATAACGGGTATTAAATTTCTAATAGAAGTTTAAATCTCATTACTCGATCTTAGTAATCAGAATATCATTTAACCTTTTAGCGAATACAATTACATTGATAAAGGGTAAATTGCTAGCAAAAGAGCGTCTTACAGGGAACATGTAGGGGTTTCATTTCCCCAAAATTGAATGTTTGAGCAGATTTTATTAGCTGTAAGATTTCGAAAATCAGTGTTCTACATGCGGGTAATCACGTTGTGTAGAAGTCTCATTCTCGATCGCTTCGTGGCTAATAACTTTATAGAATACCTATTTTAAGCTACAGATTTCGTACGATATGATTTTCTAATCTTTTATCTAAGTTCTTAGTTTAGAAGCTAGTCATTAGTGTAAGCTACGTCAAAAACTCTCCGTAATGGCGCACATATTGGAAGACCACGAAAGTGTCGATATTTTAGAATAGAGAAGAAGTGTGTTGACTGCGTTACGAAGCCAATAGATGTTGTTCCTTTCGACTGTAGTACATCAGCCTATGAAGTTATAACAAAGAGCAGCTAAAATGTGAAATAGATCTTACCTGGATTAAACGAGGACTTATGTTACTCAGTCTATGATTTTATAATTGAGCAATGGGTTAAGTAAACTGAATAATTTCTAAATTACTTGAAATAACGGTTAAACCGCGAACCTGATGACGGTTAAAATACATACAATCCCAGTTGCATTAGTATGGGCGATTGTAATAAAGAATCAACTCAGTTATTACGGGATACTCGCTTTCTTAATCTATTACAATTTACAAAGGCAATAGAGTCAGTAAACTGTAAAATTTCGAAATTACCTAACTAGTATTTTAAGTATTATTGCAAATGGCTTAAAAGTACAATCCAAACGGCTTTAGTATACTAGATTCTAACAAGAATCAGCTTAGACATTTAAGATAATGTGCTATCTCTATCTGTTACAATATATTACAGTAATTAAGAGAGTAAACTGAGAATTTCTAATTCATAACACTGAACCTGGAGCTTAGGCATTCAATTGAGAAATATAATCTAAAAATACAATTCTGACTGCTTTAACAAGCGAGATTCCGATTAGAATCAACGTAGATGTTCGAGGTTACTCGCTCTTCTAACCTGTTGCAATATACTATACTAGAACGATTGATTGAGTAAATTGTGGAATTTCTGAATTCGCTGCGCTCAAGGTTTAGGCACTGTCTAGAAAATATAATTCTAAAAGTACAATTTGATTACAAAGACATACTCGACAGTGAAATAACACATTCAAACATCAAGATAACTGACTTTCTCAATCTATTACGATATACTAGGGCGATGGAGTAAGTAAACTGTGAAATTTCTGAATGAGTTGCTCTAGGGGCTTAGGTGTTAAGTTGAAATAGATTCTAAAAAATACATTTCTGTTTACAGTAGCATACGAAATTCCGACAAGAATCAACTCAGATATACCAGATTTATTCGCCCTCTCAATCTATTACAACATACGTACTAGGGCGATGGACTGAGTAAAATGTGAAATTTCTGAATCAGTTGAACAGAGGTCTAAGCACTTACGTGAAAATGATTCTAAAAAATACAAGGTTTGGTAGTAACATTAGCATACGCGATAGCGATAATGATCAATCTAGATATTCAAAGGTAACTCTCTCTCTTTCTTGATCTATTACAATTTGTTCAGGCATGTGATACAGTGCCTTCTCATAAATAAAATAAGAAATACAGTTTCTTGTCAATTTCACTTAATTTCGTAAGTTAGGTTCGTCTAACCACTGCTAAAGACTATCTCTAGACTATCCCTAGACTATCTCTTACGAGTTGACATATACTGTATACAAATTTGTAGTCTCATATACAATTTATCTATTTTCGTACAATTTAACAATCTCAGTGTTAGATACATTGGGGATGTACTACAGGGGATTAGCGTGAGTAAACTGAGAAATTTCTAAATCATATCGTTTAGACAAGAGGTTTAAGCACAAACTTGAAAACGATTCTAAAACGTACAATCCCGACTATAAATTCTTACAGTTAGCAAAAGAATCAGTCCAACAGTTTAGCGTTGTAGTATTTTTATTTAATGTCTCAGTAAAGAAACGGCTAGCTGAAGATTTTTTAAATGTAGTTTAATTATATTTAAAAAAATAACATGGAATTAACTGATAAATATCACCATATCGACTACATAGAAAAATGATTCTTTACGTATAACATATAAACGGTCAAACACTACTAGCCTATTAGTAAAACACCATTTTACAGCAGACTGTGTATAACCTAGTCCAATATGGTAACTGCTACAGTATTTAAGTAGACTTAATTTTATCAGCCAAAGTATTAAGAACTAACCGTATCCTAGTATAGGAGGTACATATCTATTTTGGCTTCTAGCAAGAATAGTGACTCAATACACTCTACCATATCCAGTCTATCTTTACCTAACATAAAGGCTTCTGTTACAGTCTAGGGTTATAAGCTACTAACTGTAAATAAGGCCTATTATAAATGTAGAAAGCTATTAAAGTATACCGTACATCATATTTAACATGGCTAATAATCTACTATCTAATACTAAGTTTCTTGTTAGGGCCAATAGAAGGTACGGCATCAAAGTAATTCAATTTTTACTGGATATCAGTCAATTTTAAGTGAAGGTTGATTACTTTATCATATCAACGGACCAATACGGTGTTACAGTAAATCATTCGCTATTTAATGAATTAAATCTTTGTATGGATTTATAATGCATGATTACATTTTAGAGATAACTAAAAGGGCATTATAAACTCTAATTCTCTTTCTGTAACTTTATCTAAGTTGGGAAGTTTATCTCGACATTTACTTAAAGATTCTAGAGCTGTCTGATGGGAATCGTCGATATCTGAGCTATCATGCAGAGTTTTTTCAATCTTTTGTAAGGCCCTGATAGCTAGTAAAAGGTTACTGCGTCGTTGATTTTTACGAAAGCTATACCACATTTTCGCACGAGCAACTAGGAAATTAGAGAATCTTTCATTAAAAAATTTCCCTACATAGGCTACAGCTTGTATACCGCCATCAGCAGGCCATCTATCGAGCTTTCTACCTTCAGTTATATATAATTCACAATGTATTAATAGCTGATTAGCAATTTCTTCTGTTATTAATTTGTGTCGATGCAAAATTTTGTATAATTTCGCTGTCTTTTCGCCATCAGAAAGGAACTCTTTAATCCATTTAAAGTGTGCATGTCCTTTCTGAACATCGCGTAGTAACCGAAAAGTGAAGTCCTCTATTTTTTCCTCATGGGAGTTACCTAAAAATTGCCACTTTTCTTTCTCACCCAGCACTTTCTGCTTATTGCTAGATTCTTTACTCAGCTTTTCTAATAGGAAATTTTGTAGTATGTCAAAAATACTTGCTATCCTATCATTGTCGTCCTTAGGTATTTCTAAGCTTAAATGAAAAAATTTTTTCTTTAAAAATGAAAATAATCTTTTATCATTCTCTTCTTCTGTGACTGCAAATTCTAATTCCGAAGCTATCCAGAATAGCGCTTGCAGGATTGTAGCTCCAAATTCGTTTATCAGCTCGTTTCTTGATAGCAAAATACTTAATAAATCTTTGGAATGTAGCCGGTGCATATCGGAAACTTTAGTTTTCAACTGAAAGAAGTTCTGAAAAATATTATTCTGTGCTCTTCGCAGAAGTTTTCTCACTTGTTTACATAATTGATCATCATCTTCTATAGTATTGAAATGCTTTATGAAATATGGAATAACGCTAAGGCATGCGTTCATGGCTTCTATTTCTCTATCTGGTGTAACTAGCCTATGCAGTGTATCATACAAAGAGTCAATGGCCCAAAATGCATTCTTAAATCGCCAACTCGGATTCGAATCTACTCTGGCTATAAAATAATTTGCTAGAGTTTGCGTAAAAGCCTCACCCAGTAATGCCATAGCTACAAAGCCACCATCGATATCCCAATAGTCAGGATTTCCTTCGTGTTCTTTAATAACTATTTCAAACTTCGAAGTAAAATCTTCTGCTTTGCATAGCGTTAATTTATGTAATGTGTAAGAATAAACAAAATTTTTATCGTGTAGGCTTTCAATATCTATACTTGTATCTGTAAAGCCAGTTGTTTCCGTCTCTTTTTTCTGGTTCACCGGAGTTATATTACTGTTATACAGCTGTAGCGATAATTCTGTGACTTCTTCGTTTTCAGTTTCTTCCTCGCTATTTTGACTACTTCCTTGACTATCTTCGATATAATTCGTTTGATATTCATTGATATATTTTATAAGTTCAGTCGCCCATTCATTTTCCGCTAAATAGGATTTTAACTGTTCAATTTGTTCTTTCGTATATTCGTATAAGCAATCGTGGAATAGTTTACGGGAACCCGCTCCCATAATATCAATCTTTTCAGTTATTAGCTCCCACAACCTCAGTATAACGACTTTTCGTTTTTCATCAAGTTTTGGTATTATCGATTCTTTATCAATACTCACTTGCGCAGCAAACCTGAAGAACAATCTGTAATTAGGATGATATAAACACTTTTTTATCCACTGTTTAATTGTGTCAGGAAAATAATCTGTAAGCAGAATATCTTTGATGAAAAATACTGCAGCGAGGTAGTCTTTATATGTGTCATGAAGAAATTGAAGATTTTGCTCTAAATTATCAGCATTTAACACAAAGCCTGTGTTTGGTAATTCCTCGGTTGTTTCATTTACATTTTGGATTTTATCGAAAAGATTACTAATAACATCATCATTCAAAGTAGAAACTTGCTTAAAAGCTTGTGCTAATAATGTATTTGTAAAGGCAGTTCCCAATACAAGCGTATAAGTAGATCGTGTTTTAGTTGAAATAGTGTCACATGGAAGGTATTTTTCAAAATATATTGTAAGCTTTTCCTTGAAAAATTGTTGGAAAAGTTTTACAGTACTATATGAATTATGACTACTCAGAATAGATGTCATATTCTGTAAATTAGGCGATTTACGAGACCACTCACGAAATTGATTTTCCATAGTTTCGCAGTAAATATAGCTTTCTAGAGGGATACCTATAGTTGATGTGACTTTTTTTGTTCCTTTTTAAATTTTTCCACACTGCATTGACAATTTCATTTTGATTTGGCTGCAATCCTTTATCATTATTCTCTTCATTCCAAATCTTCTCTATATATCTCTTGATATATGTTTTAAGCTGCGGTTTATTATATTGTTGTAATCGAAAATATTTTACCAATTGATGAAATTTGGGTAGCTCGATGTCTTTAATCGCATAAGGTCTCGTAGTTATCAAGATAGATGTTGATGATGGAATGATGTCAAGCCATAACCGTAAATTATCAATTTGATCCTGGTCTTTCATTTCATCAAAGGCATCAAGCAGCAAAAAAACTTTACCTGTCTTTTTCATATCTTCTTGTAGAATTTCCAATTGCCAATTTTCCCATTCATGTCCTGTTGCCGCAGTAGTAAAAATGGAAAACAGGTTTGGAGTTGATGATAGCTGAATTTTAGGTAAACTAATAAAAATCCTCCAGCTAATTTCATCTTCGTACTCCTTCCATTTATATCTTTCATTCAAGCAAAAAGCAGTTTTACCATGGCCAGCATCTGCTAATAATATTGAAAAGTTATTAAACTTGAACATGTCTTTATCGGAATTGGCTGATTTTCCCGAATTTTCTTTAAAGTCGTAGTCCAATGGTCTGTGCAGTTTTAACTTGTTAGGATTGTCTTCGATAGTTACACTGCTACATGTACTATCCCGGCACTTCAGCTTTATGTAGATAATATTTTTTTCTTTAAGACTTTCAGAGTCTCCGATGCAGATTAATTGCTTACCTTGAATTTTGTTGTTAGAAAAATCAGTATCCGATATATTTCGTAATAAAATATACCTTACGTTCTTCAGTTTTGACGAATCTGTTTCCTGTATTATTTTCGCATAGGATTGAAATCCAATTTTCTCGTCGGATTGAAGTTTACCTTTGCAATTTATATTAAACCATGTACTGCATTTCTTCTCTAACTGCTCTTTGCTAATGTTATTTTTGAATAGAAAGAGTGTAGCTGTCACTTTCGTGAGTAAGTTTTCTAAATCGTAAATCGGTACACCTTCAATCACATCATTGGGTACGTAAATATTCTTCTTTAGTTCCATCTTACTTTCCGGTCTTTTCTCGTTCAATCTTTTTCGAATTGTACCCATATTATCTAAGTCTGATAGTAACGAAGATAAATCGCATGAGGTATCCTCGATGAATCTTGAAAGCTGATAAAATTTACCGCCCAGATCAATATATTTATTTTCATCAGTTTTATATATAGATTTAATTTGATTCCCTGAAAGCCCTTTAATGTTTATACTCGTGCTTCCACCTTCTTCAAGATTTTGATTACCTTCTACTGTTGTTTGATCATTTTTTCCTGAAGGTAGCGCCATTGATTCTGGCAAGCTTAAAGTATTATCGTTGTTATCATCGTCAGTATGTAATAAAATATCTAAATCGCGCTTCTGCTTATCCTTCAAGAGCAACACTAGTTTTTTCTTGCTATCATTTGCCTCTTTCACAATAGGTTGTAAAAGTTGAGATAGTGTGCTCTTCGAGCCAGCTAGACAATCTATAATTATAAATTTTGTAAGATTTCCTTTAAGAATCTTCGGTATAAGGTCTAATTCTTCTACCGAAAGTTTATCGATTTCGACAAAAATCCATTCATCGTCCTTGATTTTTTCTTGAGTGTAAGATTTTACTGTCTGATAAACTCTCGCCTTAATTCCAATACCGGTAACCAAGGCAATGAAAGGCGGCTTACCAGTATCTTCTAAAAAGTTCAGCAAACCTTGTACCTTTAAATTGTCTATTGCTGGATATTGTTTAAACTTTTCCATATAATTCTTTGTGTGAGAGAGAAAGTGATATCGAAGTGCATTACTAAAATGCACATTGATTGCTTTTTTAAAAACTTCCGCAGTAATGTAAGTGGTTTTAAGGCTGCTAAACCATTGTATTCATGGTCTTATGTACTGCATAGAATACTTCTTGCTGGCCAATATTAGTGTGAAATCCAAGCTCTTTCAAAATTAGATCCTCTAACTGTGAGCAATTGGGCTGTTCATATTTAAATATAAATTCATCGAGGAATTGATTAATCTCATCTTCCATAGCATTACATAAAATTGCTGAACAATTCAGTTTATCTTTATTATTTTTAATAATTTTTTTTTAAATTGATCGAATATTTCCCCTGGATTATTTAATTTTTTATCCATATGCGGTATCAAAAGATTCCTGAATGATTTATCACTAATGGCTAACTTAACCAAAGCCAAAGCTTTAAAAGAAATATCAGGAGGAGCAAGTCTAATCTCTTTACTATTCTTGTTTACGTTCATCAATTTTTTGCTCAATTTGAGAGCAGCTTCTTTGATTGCTGCTTCTTCATCGACTCTAGGCCTTTTCTTTAAATTTTCATCTTTTGGAATTATAAGTTTATTTCTTTCGGGATCACAGTCTATGACGATGTTCGAATATTTCTTAGCTGTCTCTGAATATGCTTGTATTGATCGCTTAAATTCTTCTCTAGTTTCTCCTTGTTTAAATTTCTTGGTTTTCGTATTAAAATCTTCAAATGTAAATTCGTCATCTGGGTCAACATCTGCGTCATCTAAATACTCGTCACCATCTTCTATATTTCGATTGGTAAAGAGCATGCATCGAATATCTTTTATATTAGCTGATAATATATTATTCCATGGCTCCTTTTTCGATTTCAATTTCATCCATGTATCAAAAAAATCAGCTAAACGGACATTTTGATCATTTTTTAAGAAAAAGTCTTTCTTTGAATAGGATTTACTAGCGACTCCTTTCCTTTTCGAATCTTTACTAGTACTTGCAGTATTCGATGAATGGCTATCAGTATCGACTGTTTCTGCCGCATGCTTAGCTTGTACAAATATAATTCTATGGCCATAGTCTATTACTAAATCATCGAGATTGTGAGCCTCTTTTGCTTCGCTAGACATGATAAACTTACAATTGTCTGAATTAGCTCGATTCGCCACTAAAATTTGTAAAGCCAGCTGAAAGTCTATACCATGCTTAGTTTTTCGCAAGCCATCTGGTTTCAATTTTTCGTAATCACTTTCACGAAGATTTTCGTTAGATCGTATTCCAGTCTCATTTATTGAGCTATCTAACGATCGAAATCCGCTATCATCTTCCATAACTACAATTTTCAATTTTTTACATTCATGCAGATATGTTGCGCTTATATGCGCAAATTGTCTTACGCTGTTCTTTCAATGCACGAGTGCTATATTTTGATAATTTTTAGTTTTATATGACTAATACGACGGATATTCAATACAAAAGATGAAGGAATGCGGAAGCTTTGCAACAAGAGAATGTATCTTAATTCACGAATTATATTTAATAAAATTGGTTTCCGATTTATACATGTAGACAATGTGAACCTGCGTTCTCATCGAATTGAATAAGCACAATGGCGATTCGATTTTCTTATTTGCACGTTTAGTATAAAAGACGATGGAATATGAAAGCTTTACAATGAAAGAAAGCAGCACAAATTATTGATTTCTTGTTGATAATGTTAGTAAATCATTTACATAAGAAGGCAGGCAATAAGTAGGTTCGTTCTCATCGTATTCAATGACGATAAAGGAGATTCGATTTTTATATAATAATAATCTTGCAATATAAATGACCAAGAAACCCTGCGACCTGTTTGAATAAGTAATTAAGCATCGATTAATAAGATGGGTTTGCATTGATTAACGGAATATTTGTTGTAAATAAAAACTGATATAAAAACATAATAACAAGTTACACCTCTTATTACGTGACCGTGGTTTATAAATGGTTAAATATACATTTAATATAACAAGATGAAGGAATGCGGAAGTTTTGCTAACGGAGAAAATAAAATACTGTAACTAAAGGAACTAAAATCAGCGTGTCGTTGATAGATATTATGTTCGTATGTAATGTTACTGTACCAATATACTACAATAGATACGACAACAATGTAAACATTAGGTTTCATCATATTAAAATATTTAATGATTATATTTGACGCAATAATAGTCTTGGAACATAAAAGATGAAAAACCTTGCAGCTTTCTTGAAGGAATAATAAAGCGACATGTTAATGAGATGGGTTTGAATTTATCGATTGTATTCGCTATAAAAGTTAGTAGGAAAAGTGCTATAACAAAGTATACCGTTATGTTACGATATGAGAGTTTAGCTGGAGATAATTTACAGTCATGAACTGTATTGTTAGCAAAAGAAATTAATAAATAACCGTACTTAAGCGATTATCGCTACGAGTAAATGAGAACTTTTTCCGGGAAATTTATGTCGATTTTCGACACTTAATTAATCAGTTTAATATTTAAACCTTTCTGATTAATAAAATATATTGACGATAGTTTCTTGCTGAAATGCGTTTCTTAATTGATTAGAAATCAGAAATAAGCATTTACTAGTTAGTTTTTTAAAGTCAAAACATGC